TGGGTGGGTGGGGGTCGTCATGGTGGTGGTGAGAAATCATTTCCCTGGGAGATGGCCACACTGCAGTCCTCTCTCTTCTAGTCTCTTGGGATTTTTGGCATGCACATGCACCCAGTGTGATTTTCAAGCCACTGGGTCTGGATTCAAACTGCTCAGCTGGCCATGTGGGATCCAGTGCCTTAACCTCTATGCCACCTTCTGGCCCTAAACTTGTACTTTAATTTCATTTATCTGTGAACTTTTGGAAATCCCCTCATATTTGTCAATAGCATGGCCTATACCCCCAGGAAAGTTTCCATAGACACAGGCTGAGAACACGGCCATGACTGGAGTGTCTGCTGAGACACATGTTCTCGGGTTCCTCCATCTGTCCACTCCCACCTAGAGTGGTTGATCAAACTCCTCAGAAAGCGAGCTCATTGCTTAAGGACCAACTAACTCATCTATAAAAATTACCTCATGATTCCATTTAATTTTACTTCCATTATTTTTAAGGAAAACCTAATCCTTACATGATTTTTTCTCTTGTTTTTGAGAGAGATTTTTGCAATAGGGTGCATGCGCTCACCAGAGAGACAGAAAGCGAGAAATTGCCCCCAGGATGGCCATGTCGCAATCCTTTCTCCTCCATTCTCCTCTCTAGGTTTTGGGCATGTGTGCACACACATGAATTTTAAGCCACCGGGTCCGGGACTCAAACCACAGTCGACTACGTGGGAGTCCAGTGACATAACCATTATGCCTTCTGCTGGTCTCCCTACTAGTTATATATTCTTTTTTTTTCTTTTTTAAAGAATTGTTTTATTTTATTTATTCATTTATTTTAACTTGATCAGAGAGAGGCAGAGAAATTGAGAGAAAGGGAAAGTGAGAAGCAAGCCACCAGATCTGGGACTCAAACTATGGTCAGCCATGTGGGAGTGTCCAGCCCCTTCACTACCATGCCACCTGCTGGTCCCCTAGTTATATATTCTTTTAAATTGAGCGAAGTTAATTTTTTTTTAAAAGGTTTTTGCCATGGAGTGTATGTGCTCATCAAAGACAGAGAGGAAAAGCGAGAGATCATGCCGTAGGGGGATAGCCAGGCTGCAGTCCTTTCTCCATTCTCTTCAGGATTTGGGGCACAGGCTCCCATGCACACTGTGTGTTTCAAGCCGCCAGGTCCAGGACAAGAACCATGGAATTGATCACGCGGGATCCAGTGTCTTAGATCACCCAAGGGAAAGCAGCAGAAAATTCCTAGGACATACAGCTCATAGGACATATAGCTCAGAACTGGGAGCTTGGCTCCTAGGAAAAGCAACAGTCTCATCATTTCAAGCTCTTAGATGAACGTTGTGACACCTCATGCAGGGGCCAACGAGACGCCTTTCTCCTCTTAGTCCCGCCATCCTGCCCGCCTGCGCCTGTGCACACGCCCGGAGCCCCACTCCTTGGGGGATGGCTGAGCAGGAACCCTGAGTAGGGCAGCTAGGTGGCCCTCCCCTCCCCCTCACTGGCTCCCAGGGAGAGCTGGGGAAAGGCAACTCTAGAGCATTCTTTTCCCCAAAACCATTCATTGTGCCTGGCTGAGAATATCCCCCAGGCCCCAACGCCATCAATGTTGTGGTGAAGTTGGGGCTCCGGGGTGGTGGTTGTCTGCACCTCGGTCCACCTCCGCCATCTGAGATGACCCCTGGGTCCTCCAGCTCCCGGCAGAGCAGTGGGAATCCTGCACTCAGGGTTAGGTCCTCTCCGAGAACAAGATCAGACAGGGCCTTTGGGAGGGAAAACACTAAGGTCTAGGTCCCGGGCTCCAGCGCACGCAAGCAGGCCAGGAGCGCAGGGGCTGTGGTTCCAGCCAGGGGAAACCTCTGAGCCCCAGCCGTTCCACAGACCGCAAAGCAGACACTGCAGATCTGAAAGGTGGCCAGATCGGCTCCAGTCCCATTTATTACAAAACCGTAACTACACATCCGGTGTATAAAAGATCCCTGACAGCCCCTGTGTATCTGCAACAGCCCCACGCCCCCAGCCCCTGCAGCCCCTCAGGTGCCTCGGGTACCGAAGGTCTCAGATGCGAAGGTCCCCGGCCAGGAGGGCCTGGTACCGAGCAGGCGTGAGTGACAGGTAGGCACCTGTGGCCTGGTCCAGAATGTAGAGGGGGTCGGACAACGTTCTTGGGTCAAAGCCCTCATTCGCCATCCGAACTTTCTGCTGTTTGAAGGTCTCTGTGGTGGCCAGAGACTTCTAGGAGAGGAGGAGGAAGGCGGGGAAGAGTTGAAGGAAAAGGTGTCCCGGTCATTTTGAGAAAACACGGTGACTTTTAAACTCATGTAGAAATGCGCTTTGCTACGGAAGTGCTTCTCCACAGCCCTACTAAAGTAGCTTACAAAAGCGCTTCTGCGTGCGTTTAGAAGTCACACCGTGTTTTCTCAAAGTGCTGCTCTCCACACCAGTCAGTGCCTGGATTTCATTAAGGGGTGGGTATGGCGGCAGGGAGGTCGAGGTTAGGGAACGAGAAAGAGGTGACGGGGAAGAGAAAGCCAGGCTGGACGCAGAAGGCTTAGGGAAATGGGTGGACTGAAGAGTGACAGAAAGAACATTCTTCCCCTTCACGGAGTATACATGTGGGGGTCCCTCTGTGGAGTTCGGGCGCCGCCAACTGTTGTGGATCAGGGCGAGGGGGCTGCTTACCTGGAGCCTTAGGAACCGAGGCCAGGCATAAGGTGGCAAGTTCTCAGACACGTGGGCGTAGAGCTGCCCCAGGTCCAGAGAGTAAGGGGGACGCAGAACCAGAGCTGCCATCCCGGCCCTGCCTTCATGCCCTGGTGCACGTGGGAGGCAGGATCAGCCTTGGCTGACCACCCTGAGGCCCTTATGCTCCTGGCACCCGAGTACCTGGCACCAGTTTAGGGTGCTGGGCCAGGTACTGCCCCCACCTTCCACGCCCAGGCACCTGGCACACTGACGCCATAGACGTTCACTTCCTGCAGAAAATCCAGGGCTTCTAAGACCTCTGCCACCTCGGTTGTGGCCACGTTCTCCCCCTTCCACCTGTCAGAAAGCAGAGATGTGAATCTGGGGCTCAGGGCTCAGGGCCTATGAGCTTTGTGGGGAGAGAAAAAGGGGAGAGGTTGGAGCAGGAGGGACTAGGTGAGACCCTGGGTTGAAGGGGAGGCTGGGGAGCTGAGGTTTGGGAGCTCTGGGCCTCAGAGACCAGACGTCCGGGGGAGGAGTCAGCAAGCTGCCCACAGACCTGAAGGTGTCTCCAGTACGGTCGTGGAAGCGAAGAAAGCCTTGGTCGTCGCAGACCAGCAGGTCTCCGGTGTTGAAGAAAACATCCCCCGGCTGGAAGACGTCCTTCAGCAGCTTCCCCTGGGCCAGCTCCGGACCCCCAGCATAGCCCAGGAATGGGGACTGCGGGCCCACTGGGGCCACCAGCAGCCCTGGCTCACCTGGCAGAGTCCCTGGGGTCAGGAGTGGCTGCCCACCTCACCCGGAGCCTCTGGCCCCCACCCCACCCCGGTCTCCGATACTTCTCCAGCCCCCCCCACCCTCCCTGCCCTGCGCTCACGGACCTGGAGAGGGG